TCAACCGAATAAGTAATTGGCTGTGGGAATCAATAGCAACAAACTTACCCCTCATAGGAACTTGTCGAACGTATGCCTCGTCAGCCTTGGATATGGCCTGTTGGAGTTCTTCGAGCGGTAGATTTTCATCGATGTTGTAGTCCACCATTCGTCCGTACTGCACCCAGTTGCCATGGTGGTAGTCTTTACGCAGGAACCACGTTGACACCGACTTCAGTCGGTTGGTGATCGGAGCTGAGATCGTTGTGCGCCTCCGGTTTAGATAGTCCGATGTTTGACAGAAAAAAAGTCCAGGGTGGAGGGATTTCCCGCCAGAGAGATGAAAGTTGGTTCGTCCGGAAATTGCACAGTGTACATTCCATGCTGTGCGTGGTCGAACAATATACATCCGTTCCGGTTCCGCTGGTAGTTCCGCCAAGCTACATGACGGGCGTTCAGGTCGCCCCCAACGATGAATCGGGAGCTAGTACGAGTGACGGTGGTCAGGTCGTTCTTGAATTGGATGCCTAGGCCGTTGCTTGTGGTACACTGGCGTGGGCAGTAAACAACGATAAACCGGACGTTTCCAGTTGGTGATTCCACCTCCACAAACGACCTCGATGATAGAAGTGCGGATGTGGGCAAGAGTGCAGAACTTGATTCCCTTTCTGACGATGACCGCTACACCCCCCCAATTTTGTGGTCAGGCAACCAGAAGCTGTCACCGGACTTTAGGTGGGTCTCGGTTAGAAGACCCACGTCGATGCTATGCTTGCGGAGGAAGTCGGCAAGCTCAATCTGTTTAGCTCCTACAGAGCAAGCGTTCCAGGTAGCGATGGTTAGCGGTTTACACACCATACTGCGTGATGAACTTACCGAGCACTTGGATCTGGTCGGGCTTATTGCGGCACTTACGTAGAGCACCGGTCATGTTGATGCAAATCTCCATCCGCTGAGAACAGATCGGGATTATTTGGTTGAGCTGTTGGTTGTCTCCAGAATCCAGGGGAGATGGAGAACTTTGTCTAGCAGAAGATCCAGACAATTGAGGGGGGGCTGATCGCACCCTTGGATTCGCTTGTCCATGAAGAGGCGGAAAGTCCTCCGCCCTGAAAGCCGGGGCCTTATCCTTCCTTCTTGCTGGTTAATTGTTGGTGGACACCTGTTTTCGGATGCGCTTGAAATCCTCGCGTTTAGGGCACTGCTTGTTGGATCCTTGGTGAGCACCACCACAGTTGGCGCATTTTAACGCCACGGCTCCATCGGCAGTCGGAAGTGGCGTGGTCTTGAGCGCAATTGCCGCAGCGTGGCTTAATGTTGCAGTTGCGGGTGTCGTGTCCGAAGTTCAGACACCGTTGGAACTGAGTCACATCCTGGGGGCAAGACAACTGCACTCAGAGTAAATATATTTGCAGCGAGTAAATTTGAGTTACTCATATTTACTCAAAAATGAACAAAGTAATATCATGTGACAACATATATCGTTTGAAGCATCTGTTCGCATCGAATTGTGGACAAACGAAATGCTACTGTGGTGGTTTGACTGCACGACGGTTTTACGGGGCTTGGATGCCTTTCAGGCGCCTTTCCTCGTTGGTGAGGATTGACACGGCCTAGGACGATACAGGATTGACTGGAGTGACCCGTTTCAAAAGGGGAATGCTACTTTTCGGTTACCTGAGGTACAACCTGAGCTTGAAACTTCGTTCGTGGTCAATAGAATTGGTCCTTGACTGCTGATTGTGGTATACTAAGTAGCTGCTGATTCTAGGCCAGATTAGGTCAGCTCTGGCCAGCTTCGCAACCGGAAGAAAACCACTTCAACTTTGCGCTTTGCCAGCAATCGTAAATGTATCATTGAAAAAGCGTTGCCAGATGTATTGCCTCTAGCAATGAATTAAATTTTATTAAAACAAGCAATTGTGAAATTTGACTGGATGTATGTAATGGTGAATAAATATCAGAAACTAAATAATTTAAAAAAAGACCATTTTAGGCATTTTAGCGGTCCAAATTAAAAAAAAATTACAGAAGATTGAATTCAACGCTAACAGAAGAGATGGTAACAGTGCCACAAACTATATTGCTCTAAGTATTGAATTTATTGAATTAATTTAGCCTAATCCGAACCTATCGAACCACCCCAAAAGTCTCTACACAGAAATTCCAAGAAAGCACGTCAACTAACTTTGCTTGACAGCATCGGTTTCAACATAATTTTCAATGTAACAATCAGGTTGCTATGAGTATATAAGACATTGAGCAGCGTGAGTTACTCAGAGTTACTCAAAATTAGCTTCGGTTTTACTCATGATCGATAGCTGTCTTGCCCCCAGGTCACATCGCGATGGCTGCCACGGTATGGCTCCCAGAGGACGATGATGGAATCGATGGAGCGGATGGCTTTCAGCGCGTTGAGCGTCACCGTTCCCTTCTGGAAGTGTACCAGGAAAAGGTAATCCGGATACGCCTTCACATTTTCGTCCTTCCTTGCCAACCGATAAATGGCACCTGGGGCCAGCTTGTACCGGTCCCTGATTTCAGCTTCGATAAACTTCGGGTCGAAGTTTGGTAGGCCCCTGATGACGACCTTGAATGGTTTCTCACCGGGAATGTCGTGGGTGAAGAATTCCACCTTGGAAGTCCTCAGGTGGGCGACGACCAAGTCATACTCCGCTTTGGTACGAAGCACCACCTTGGGGCCGACTCTGCCCAACTTGTATTCGGCTTTAACGCCCAGCGTCGCTAGATCCACGATGAGCTCATTAAGATGAGCATTTTTCACTACCAATGGAGGTAGCTTCACTTTTGCCGCACTAGGGCCGGCAGAATTTTCATTGCCGATGGCGTCGCCGAAATCACCGATGTCGCTGGCGTTCGTTGCTGTGACGTCGTCACGTCCACTCGCACCATCGGACTGGCCTTGGTTTTTCTTCCTCTTCTTGGATCGCTTCACCGTGGCGGAGGTGGTATTCCCAACATCGGTGGGAAGAGTTGCGTACCTATTTGAAGTAGGAACACTCGTGTTACCCTCACCACTGTTCTTCTCCGCTTTCTCACGGAGCGTGCTCTGAGATACTAACTGAAGACCATATTAACCTGGCTGCCAGGAATGTTCCTGTAAATGATCAAACGCTGGGTGCACTTGATGTTAATGCTGAGATGATTTCTAATGCCGCGACTCTGTTCAAGTCATCCTTCAATCTTGGACCTGAGTCTCTCTCCAGTGGCATATTTCCATCTTGCTGGAAATTTGCGCACAAGGAAACGAGCTGTGGATAACTATCGAGGAATTACATCGTTAAGTGCTATTTCGAAGCTATTCGAGCTAGTGATTATGAAACCGTTGCAGTATTTGAGTGCTGATCAACATGGGATTACTGTCGGCTGCTCTACAACCACCAATCTGCTGTGTCTCACATCGTATATAACCGAAAGCATGTCGGATCGGGTTCAAACGGACGTTATTCATTCAGACCTATCTGCAGCATTCGACAAGTTGAACCATGCTATTGGGATTGCTAAACTCGGCAGGCTCGGTGTATGCGGTAATCTTCTGAGTCGGTTTCGATCATATCCACCGGTCACCAACTAAAGGTTGCCATAGAAGATTGCAGATCAGCTAGCTTCTTCGCCACATCAGGTATACCTCAGGGAAACCACATGGGACCGTTGATTTTTATTATGTACTTCAACGACATGCATCTGGTCATCGAAGCTCCTCGGTTATCATATGCAGATGACCTCAGGGTCTTCATACGTATCTGCTCCATTGCTGACTGTCACTTTCTTCAACGTCAGCTGAATGTATTCGCTAGTTGCTGCAGTTTAAACAGAATGGTAGTGCCAAATGCTCCGCTGTTACGTTCTCACGAAAACAACATCTTGTGATCTTGGATTCGCAGCTTTCATTTAATGTGTTGCATATGTTGTCGATAAGGCGTCAAGAACTTTAGGGTTCATTTTTAGGATAGCTAAAAACTTCACTGATATCTACTGTCTAAAATCTCTTTATTGTTCGCTTGTTCGATCGACGCTTGAGTATTGTTCAGCGGTTTTGAACACAAACTACAACAACGGTGCCGAGAGAATTGAATCTGTTCAACGTCGCTTTCTTCGTTTTGCGTTGCGTAGATTGCCTTGGAATGATCCGTTTCGATTACCCAGTTACGAAAGCCGTTGGTAACTTATCGGCCTAGAACTTCTCCGGACTAGAAGAGAAACAAGCAGAGCCCTAACCGTGGCCGATATCCTGCAAGGAAGGACAGATTGCGAGGCTATCCTGAGGCAAATTGACCTGAATGTTCAACCCCGACCGCTTCGTAATAACCTTATGTTAAGACTGCCTCTACGTCGCACAAATTATGGAGCATACGGTGCGATTTGCGGACTGCAGAGAATATTCAACAGAGTTGCATCTGTTTTCGACTTTCATCTCTCCCGTGATGCGCTACGTCCAAAGTTTTCTTCTGTTTTTCGCCAGCAGGAGTAACTGACTATAAGATATGTTTTTTTTTGTTATGACAAAGCTTGAATGTATTTTTTTTACTATAGTTGATAAGGTTAACATCATTGGGGCTTCATCCAGCTTGTTGATGTAAAAACACAATCTTCAGAATGACTAAACGAAATATGTAAAAACAACTCATTTCAAGTGGATACGAATATCTGCATAAAATTAAATGAATCATAAATGACTCACGCATGAATCCTCATATCGTCGTCGATTCGAACCACTCAACGAGACCCTGCTTAATAAAGTCAGATTAATTTCAAGAAGGTTGCACATTACTGCGAACGAAATGCAATTGATACCAACCATCCCATACCCAAGCGAAGAACGCTATTTGTAGTAGTTCAATCAAATCTCTGAGAACCAACAACCGCGATCAAGATCGGTGCACCTACTATGCAGTTAGCAGCGATCACCACCACCACCACCATCGTCCCCGGCGCAGAAACCAAAACACCGACCCCATTGACCTTATAATTATTCTAAAAGTAATGTACAGCTAACTTACCATTTGGCCGTCGTTTCCATCCGCAGCTCATGGTACGATACGGTGAAGGAAAACTTGGCCGCTCGCTTGTTGACACGCTGCAGCCGCTTCCAAACGCTTCCCATTGTTTATCTTATGTGTGGTATGTTATTCTTCAACTGCTTTTTCTGGCGTTCTTCTTCCCGTCTTCCAGAAGGCAGCAGCGGGGGCAACTCCCTTTTCCGGGATATCACTTATCTTCTCGCTCGCTCGCTGCTGCGTTCTAGATATCTGTCTCTTCTTGCTCTACTTCTTCGCCTTGGCACAACCTACAATAACAATCATCGAACTACGCTGAACGGAACCATTGCCTTGCCTTATTCTATTCGGCTTCTTCTCGGTTCAATTCACGCCCTTATGCTGATAAGAATCTCCCTCCCGCTGCTCTTGCTCCTCCTGCTGCCGACTGTTGTGCCCGTTCCGATGTTTATTTTTACACCATCCGAGCAACGTCAATTATAATTTGCAACTTTTCCACCTTCCCGTTCCAACCCACCGACCGCGGGGAGCAGAATCGAACCTTGCCACTGCAGCCACACAAAAATAGTGACAGCAGCAAACCACAAAAGGACACCACACTCGTGACAGACGGAAGACCCCGCACAATGCCACGACCGAAAATCACTCACAAAGCACACGGAATTTTATTTTTGCGTGACTTTCCTCACTGAACCAATCTTCCGGCCACGGCCGCTGATGGCAATGATGACGATGACGATACCGACGACGATGATGTGCGCCGTTCAAGGTTGAAAATCATTATTTTTTCACAGCTATTTTTTTTTTATTCGTTTGATGATGAGTTTTTCAGCAGGAAGAGTGTCTGCTCGTCGTCATTTTCCTGCGCTACTGCTGCTCCGTGCTCCGTTCGATCATCGGAGATTCCTGAAGCTGAAATACTCGCGAGCACCGACGACCGACAACCGAACTTTCGACCCGGATTCGTTTAGTTTCCCGACAAGAAAATCCAGACAGAGCTTGTAGTTCCTTGAAACCCTTATTTTTTCTTCGATTCTGATGATCACTCCACTCCGTTACTCTGGACCCGATAGAAAACTGCTGCTGCTCACAACACTACTCTCGAAATGGAACTGGCTTTGCTGCACAAAAAAAAATTCAATGAAATTTTGACAGTTCGATCAATGAATCTTCTTCGTTGCGTTGCGTTGCGGGTGTGCGATGGAAGGACGTATGCGCAAAGCGGAATGAGCGATTATGAGAAAAGTTGAAAATAACTGAGGGGTGAGCGGATGTAAATCCCGCCTGTGATGAAGAATCCGATATCAAGCCGAACCTTTCATACGGTCCTCGCACTAAAATTTTGTTTCCGTATTCGGTAAATTTTACCGAAATCAGAACAGCTGAACGTTCGGTAAAACTTTGACCTCGACTTTGACCTTAATTTTAAAGGCTATTAAGTTTGAAAATAATATCAAAACATGTTCAACCTTGTTTAAATGATCAAATCTTGTCATTTTAGTAAAGCAATTGAATTGGCGTCTTGCAGTGAAACTTTTCTAAGCTTTCGCCACCTACATTTCGAAGTGAAACTACTAGAAGGCGGATAGTTTCCAAATTTTCCAAGTAAAACAGACGCTTTTTGGGGCAAATCGGTCCATAAAGAAAAACTAATAATTTCCCGTGGAAACTTTTGCTTGAATCGTGTAAGAAAACGTGTTTGAAAACTATTTGTTATTATTCCGGTATGGATCGGAGATGTTTTCATGGCAAATTATGCATAACAAGCTTGCACCCACAGCGAGAGGTTACTTCCTGCGTAGCTGCATTTTTCGGAAAATGGTGAATATGTGCGATTTCCACTAAGATGAAAGTGGAAATTAAGTTAATTTACTTAGGAAAGGTTGTATCATGCTGGTGGTAATGGAGAATTGGTTGTATAGAACGCCAATATTCAATAAATGTTCATTTTGGCCTTTTCTAAGCAAACATATTGATACTCACAATTTTCGACGGAAAACGCAACGGAACTTGCTTTACTCAACACGCACCATACTATAAAATGGTGCTAGATGGTCTTCAAAATGATAACAAGATGACAAATCATCTTTATTTTGAGTAATTGAGCAATTTACTTCTGTTTACCATCATATTTACGATGCAGCATTGATGAAGCCGTGAAATGAAATGAATATATCTTATGAAAGTTCACCTAGAAAAATCAAAGATGCACATCAGTCTGATCGTAAAAACGTTTTCTTCTTCAATTCGAATGTTATATTGGAAGGTTTTCACGCAGGCTTGATGAAAATTATGATTAAATGCTGTTTTTCACGAATTTTATATGCAGTCTGTCAACATTATCATCATCATGCAGTGGCGTCATCTGCGTTGAGCTTTTGCGGCAATCTTCCAATTGAATTGCATAAATATTACCGAAAAGTTCAGCTGTTCAGATTTCAGTAAAAATTACCGAAGTCGGCGATAATTTCTAAGTGTATATGTAACATTTGTGTCATATTGAGAAAAAAAGGGTCGAAAACTTGAAATCTATTTTTAAATCGTTATTGCAACTCAAGTGTGTATTCTTCAATTTTTGAATGATTTTCGATTTTAATCGTTAAGAGGAATACAATGAAAATGTTACTCTTCAAGTAGACGGTGGCATTAGGCATGTAATTAATACATTTGTTATCGTTTGGTAAATTATATTGTACATTGGACATTTTTAATGGTGCTAAGCTTTAATAAATATAATCTTCACATAAGTTCCCTATCAGGTTTATTATGTCGTATTCTAGGTCGTTCTAGTACCAACAATCAATACAAAACTAACGATTTTAATTGGCTCACTACTTGACTAGCCTATTGGTCCCAAGTACATCTATAAGCGTACCCCATTCTAGTCGAAATTCAATTACTATGTTTGTTTTGATTCGCTATGAAAGTTTGACAGCTAAAATGAGGGGTTCGTGGATTTTCCTATGTTTCGAGAGGTACATCGATTAGCTTGGGACCGAAGATAGTACCAGAGCTGAGCCAACAAGTTGAGTTCGTTTCTTCGGGACTTTCCGGTCTTAGAGTTAACTCTATGCTAGTATTTCGTAATACCACAGACAAACATACGCCTATCTCCGATCTGTTTTCAAATTTTGCGGAAGAAGTTTGGAGTGGCTGGCCAGCAAAGACGGGGTTCTTGGACTGTACACAGAAAACAAAGTTGTTGAATATTACATCCAAACTGCTGCAACCAGGTCAGTCCATCGGTTGTGTAATATAACGTTGTACGATGTACATCGATTTTGCGAACAAAATTACATCCATTGATTTAATATTGTATCTGCTTTTTGCTATTCCATCATTATTTCATACATCAGCTTGAATTACATTGATCGATATTACATTTTTTTTTGCTGTGTAGTGGGTGCCCTAATAAACAAATACCATAAACGAACTGTATCGCGGATGGGTAAACTATCCCACAAATGGTTTGGATGATACCCCGAACACGTCGTTAAGCTCTCTTTTATGGTTATTTTTATTAGGGTGGGCTTTTGGTGATGGAAGAATGGTTGATTCACGGTACACGATAGACACTCAAATGTCTGTCAAATGTCTTAGTCTGGGAATTCGCTTCTTGAGTTTGCTCAGTTCAGGTTAGTTACGTTAAGAAATGATTGGATAGGTACACGCAAAGAAAAATCGTGGATAATTTTAAAAAATATACCATTATTAGAATTAAAATTTAGCATTGGTTCTTTTCTGTAGAAAGCGGTTAGCTTTCAAAAATAAAGTCAATCAGCAGTCAAATCAAAAGTTTTCAGGTAATTGCTTTTAAAAGTTGAAACTTTCAAAATGAATTGTATAGTGTTCACTCGGCTGTCAACAAAAACGGGCCACTCTCGATGTGTGCCACGCGAACGTCTGTTTTCTCGGCAGCAACCATTGTGTGGTCCTCCTCATTGTTCTTCATCAGCAGTTCTTTCGGTCGATGCGTAGTCTACTTTGGAAAGCAACCCTTTCGTGATGAGTGTGTGATTGCTGAACACGTTTTGCGTCCATTGCTGCCATGGAAGCGCTCTGCCCCCCCGATGATGTAACTGCCATACAATGAAACCACTGGAAGCGGCTCCAGTTCTGATGGAGGAGGCTTTTTGGATAGCGGAAGATAAAGTGTTTATTGTATTGTACCTTTTGACTATAGTTTTAAGATGTATTGTATACCCGCATAAACGATAACCATAAAGAGTGCCTAAAAACCTATTCGGGTTATCATCCCAACAATATGTGGTACGGTGGCACGATTTGTGGTATCGTTCATGTATGGTGCTCGTTTATTAGGGTAGTGACCAAGAATCCTCGGCTCTGTAAAGTTTATTCGATTGAGCCTTATCAAATAAATTAATAAACAAAAAAAAATAATTGTACGAGTTACCTCTATGGATTATGCCACAGAAAATCCTGGTGGCGCTCACTGGGATTGAACCCAGGCCTTTTAAAGTGAGAGACAATCATGCTCACCACTACACCACTGGTGCCTCTAACATCAGTCAATGATTCAACAGAGGGGGAAATATTTGATTTTGATGCGCTATTTGTTGTTCTAATTGATAGAAATGTGGAGAAATTAAAAGATCTTTAAGAATAAGTTTCTACAGCTCCAGGGCAATTTAATAGATTTCAGGAAAATTTACTTTAGCGAAAATCAAGAGCTTCAGGGCAGTTCGATTAAATTCAGGAAAAATTAAGCTTAAAGACCTATGAGTAAGTTACGTGAACCTCCGGTAAGTTCTGAAAATGTTAGGACAGTTTCATGAATATCAGGAAAACTATGAGAACTTGGCGGACGTTCCTAAAACTTTAGATTTGTTCCGAGAACTTTATCGCAAATCCACTTATTTCAGTAGAATAGAGGAAACCATCAAGAAGTTCCGAAAATTTAAGGATAGTAAAAAGAGACATCAGGGAATGAACTTAAAAACATTTAGAAAGCTACAAAGAAGATCCATGTTTAAAGGGAAATTTAAAGATCTTCTGGGCAGTTCCATTAATTTCTGAACAATTTCAGGAACATCATCAGGAAAACTTAAGTGAAGTTCCGTAAACTTCAGGAAACAATATAGATCTTCAGGAGAGTCTGAGGAATGAAAAGAAACAATTTCAGGAAGTTTCATAGGCAAATTTCAGGATTTTAAAAGTGATTCCAAAAGTTTCAGGAAACTGCAAGAACTTTTAAGAAAATTTGAGAAATTCAGGGATATCCAGAGAACTTTAGGGAAGTCAAAATAATTTCAGAGATGTGGAGATAACTCGAAGACTATTGACATGTTAAAGAACTTCCAAATACCTCAAAGAAGTTAAACTAGAGAGCTTTAGGGAATTTCAGAGATATCAACGGCACTTCCAATAACTTCATAACTTCGAGAAATTCAAGAAATTCCAGACTTTCAGGGAAGTTCGAAGATTTTTATGCGTAAGCTCCGATAAATTCCGGTCAATTCAATAAAACTCAGAAAAACTTCGAGGATTTTTTGAAAGTTCTATTTAGTTCCGGGTAGTACCAAGGACTTCAATAGAATTGAGAGTACTTCAGGAATGGAAAAAATAAGTACATTAATAAATATATAAATAAATAAATAAACTAATTGCATGTTAATTGAAGAATGTTTAAGAAGGTCCAAGAAACTCAGGTAATTGCCGAAACATCATCAAAGTACCAAGACCTTTATTTAAATTTCAGAAACATCAGAGATTTTACATGAGCATCAGGAAAATTTGAGATTATTTTAAGGAAGTTCAGTGGTATTCAATGCAGTTTAAAGAATCACAAAAAAAAACTGCAGGAACTTCAGCGACGGTCAGATTATGTTCAAGAAAATCGCGAGATCTTTTAAAATGTTCAGAAATCTTCAAGAACTACTAGAGACCTTCAGAGAAGTATATAGATTTTTGGTAGTTTCATTATATTTTGGGAAGTTCCCGGAACTTCGTAGATGATTAGAGGAATTCAAAGGAACTATGGGATACTTAAATAATTTCATGAATTTTGCAATGCTTCAGAAACAATGCGAGGTCTTCAGAAAATTTTATAAATATTATTAAAATCTCCGGAACAAAAGAAAAATTAAGGAACTTCAGGAAAGATTCAAAACCTCAGTTAAGCCCAAATAAAACTAGGATTTGACTACTTTTGTGGATGTTCAAAATCTTCCAGAGAACCACACCGCTACCTGATTGCATATACTAGCCCCCTTTACGGATGTTCAGGATCTTTTGAAGGGCCGTTCCATGGCCATCAGAGTGCATATACTGGTTTCAAATCCAAATTCATTAATGCAGCATAACAACAAATTGATTTAAAAAATCTAGATATTTTTTTACAAATTTTCCACATTAATGGCTGTTCCGGGTCTTGCTTTGCTGTCTCTTGGGTCCACATTTTTGTCCCAAATTCAAATTTATTCATATAGGGGAAATGACGGCTTCGGCATGACAGACTATTTTCGGCAACCCAAGTTGAAACACTATTTTCACTAGATTTTCTTACGAAAACACTTCGCTGAATGCATGCAAACGATTTTTTATGCTTTCAGCTTCAATTTGACTATATTTTTGCCACTGAGAAAAAGCAATCTAGCAAGGTTTTCTTGAAATGCAACACACGCACTACAGATTGTAGCTGATTTCGAGTTGCCGATAATAGAACAGCAGATTTACATGCATTTCAAATGGAACGGTTGCCGAAGAAAAACTGGTTGCCGACAATACTCACTCTCACTAGAGAAGATTGGAGCTTTGTAAAAGCGTTTCAAAACAGTTTTTGACAATTCTTTCGACTGAAATTGTTAGAGCAGCTGGCAGCAAAAGATTGTAAACAAACCAATACTGCATATGTGTGCGTTCCTTAGAGAAAAAGGCTATAGAAAGAAGGTCGCTGCTTAGGTTGCCGAGAATACGTAAATTCCCCTATCACAATGCTCAAATGAAAAAAAAAATAAACATTTCATGTATAGCAACGCTTGGGCCAGTTGCTATCACGCTGCTATATTTGTCAACCCGCTGTTCACCGAGAGGCAGATTGTTATTTTCCGCACTTGAATAGCAACCCCCAGTGCGGTTATGGGCCACACAAATTAGATCCGTTTGCGTTGCGTTGACGTAAATTTGACAGTTAGACAAAAGATTTAGCTGTCACTTTGCCGCAACGCATCCGATCCGGATCTAATGTGCGTGGGCCTTTACTGCGTTATGGTGGAGGTTGCTAAAATAAGTTTAGCAACGCATTGGTGCGGGTGTTCTTAGACCACCCGCACCAATGCGTTGCTAAAGCTATTTTAGTAACCTCCACCATAACGCAGCAACCACACCGGGGGTTGCTATTCAAGTGCGGGAAATAATAATCTGCCTCTTGGTGAACAGCGGGTTACCAAATTTAGCAACGCGATAGCAACCGACCTACGCATTGCTATTTGTAAAAAATGTCATTTTTGTTTTTCAATTGAAAATTGTTAAAAACCATTTGCATTATGACCATGAATGCAATTGGACGTCATAAAATTGAAATTTATCTGCTTTTATGTTATGACAACATCGTCAAAGCAATCATTGCAGTTTCATGATTAAATGCTATAAAGATTTTTCTTGATATCCATAACCGAAATTTTTTTACGTGGCAGTTTAAAGCGCAACTAATAATGATCAATTTTTCCCGGATTAAAGTAACAGGCCTCCACAGGTCTAGAATATTTTCACTAAATGGCCATTTTTAAGGATATTCAGGATCTTCCGAAGGACGCCCTTGGGCGCTAGGACACACATTTTGGTCTCCGATCCAAATTCATGTATAAAGCATCACAACAAAGAATTATATGGATATTCTCAATCTTCCGGAGGATAACTCCGTGGCCAGCAAAGTGCGCATGCTGGTTCAAGATCCAATTTAATTCATGCAGCATCACAACAATAGCATGAAAAACAGCGGTGCTTTAGAATCTTTATAACAAATTAGCCACTTTTACGGATATTCCGGAGAACCGTCCCGTGGCCAGCAAAGTAAAGATGCTGCTCTCAAACCCAAATTCATTCCTTTAGCTTAACAACACGTAATTATAAAAAGTCTCGGTGGTCTAGGATCATTTTTACGAATTGACCACATTACGGATGTTCCGGGTCTCCCAGAGGACCGCTCCGATAGATTCAAATTCGTTCATGTAGCATCACAACAAGTGACCTAAAAAAAAGCTGAGCTAAAGGATCTTTTCCACGAATTGATAAGCTTAACGGATGTTTGTGATCTTCCAGAGGACCATTTCTTAAACCCCCCGGGTCTATAGTTGTATCTCAACCTTCAATCTTCAATCTTCTTAGTTAGGTATATTAATATTATCGACAAAAATAATAATCACGAAGCTCTACGATCAGTTTCAGCTCGAAGCTCAACGATAGATTTAGCAACAACCGGTGCGAAAGTTAAAAACATAAATTAACAATCATAATAGCAACGACCGGTGTGTAAACTGGTTAATATCGAAAATAGCAACGGCTAAAGTTGTCAAACTAACAGCCTGAATAGCAACGCACCGGTGCAATTTTACTAGGGCTCTCCCTTTGGCAAAACCATTTTCCCCGGCGCTACTGGCCCAGATAAATCCCGCCAGTTTTGTTTTCCTTTCCCATCTTTCCGCTGTCATTCGCTTCAAAATCGCTTCACATTTTCCATTCTTATTTTTCTGCTTCCACCAATCATCACACTCATCGCCAACTCCACCGAGAGTCAACAATCTCGTCGCGTTTTTTTTTTGTATTTTGCTTGCATTGCGCTGATGCAGCCTCAGCAGAAAATAAGTGTAATTGGCAGCAAGTTTTAATCCCTAGATTTGCCATCATGGCATAAGAAGATAAAAGTGAAGTGAGTTCGCGTTGAATAAGTGCGGAAATCGCTCAAGGTACGGGAAATGTCGTGCGTAGTCGTTGTCCGAGAGGGGGGATCCGATTCGCTGGCAAAGTGAGTGCGAGTAGGGTTTGATTTCTGTTTAATTCATTAAGAGACGGGGGAAATATCTCTAGATAAAGCACAGGTTGTGGAGTGCGAGTAGGACGAAGTGCGACCTTGTCAGCCAAGGAAGTGGCAGATTTGGAGGATTTTGATTACGTGGGGGTGAAAATCGCGAAATGAGTTTCGCGGGGAAGTGGCTTTGGGCTGGGCTGGTGCTGTTGGTGGTAGGCCTGTTGGGCGGCAGTCAACCGTCGGAGGGAGCCCACCTGCGGGGATCGTTTACGGTGGATCAGTTCTTCCGGTTTCTGATCAAGTTTGGCTTCCAGAAGACGGAGAAACACTCGCAGCAAAATACGGAATCGGATACGTTCGGATACATCTATGGAAATGTTACGTCGAGGGTGAACTTTACCGTCCCGGTTACGTTGGCCGTGCTGGATAAGCACAACTTTCTGGAGTACTACGCCAATCGGAACAACTTCGATCAGGATGTGGCCTGCCAGCGGATGTTCGACAAGCTCGACAAGGTGGCATTCAATAGCAAGTGCAACAAAGGGGCGGAAGCAGATTACCTGCGGAGGATTCCCTGCGAGCGGGGGAGGTTGTGTGCGGATGAAGACAGTCCGGCGAATGTGGTGTCTGGAAGTCAATTTACCTACGTGATTAGCGATCCCAATGTTCCAAGGTAAGTGTTCTGACTTGAGTTAGCCAAATCGCTGACAGTTGCGCGCTTCCATTTCAGATTCTGGTACATTTCGATGGTAGCTTGCTACCAGAATGTGAGCACTTGTCAGTGGCATCACTACGACTACCGGAAGTATCACAGCGAACCACCGGAGATCGACTTCGACATTCAGCTAGTCAACGGGAATCCCAATCGGCAGAGTGTCTCGTTTTTCAATCCGCTGCTGTTCCACTTCTCGTTCGACCATCAGAACACTCTGGAGATGTATCTGATCTTCTTCGTTATCTATCTGGTGATGGTTCCGCTGCAAATCTACGCCGTTCGGCTGCAGAAACATCCGGTGACGCGGCTGTTCACGGTCAGCTTGCTGCTGGAGTTCATAAGCGTCTGCCTGCTGCTGACGCACACCGTTCGCTACGCCATGAATGGTGTAGGAAACGAGAACCTGGCCATTACCGGGGATATCTTCGACATCTTCAGTAGGGTAGGTTTGGTTGCGATTAAGGTCGGATGGAAATTGATTAACAAAGACGTTTCGTTGCAGACTTCATTCATGCTAATTTTGTTACTGCTGGCTAAGGGCTGGGCGGTTACGCGGTTGCAAATCTCCGTCAGCAGTTGGATCCTGCTGATGGTGATTTGGATTCCCTACTGTGCAATACACGTGCTGCTGTATATTTGGAACAGGGTATGGAATCGGAGCCAGACGATCAAATTGGTTCGTAATTTGTTAGAAAATTATTTTATCATTTACAGACGGAAGTTGACATCATTTCCGACATTGACGAGTACCAAACTTGGCCCGGGTGGTTGGTGCTTGCGTGCAGGTAGGTCACAGTCTCAGCTCCCAAAACACAAGCAATCTATTTCGGTATTTTCGCCAGGTCAACCATGATGCTGTGGTTCCTGTGGGAGCTTCGTATCACGATGAAGTACGAACACTCGACGCAGAAGCTGGACTTTCTGCTGCACTTCGGGGCTTCCAGCCTGGTGTGGTTCATCTATCTGCCGATCGTGGCGATCATCGCGGTGAACGTGAACCCGCTGTGGCGATATAAGCTGCTATTAGGTAGAAAGGAGTTTGATTGATGTGAGAGCTGGCATTAACTTGGGTGGTGTTTCTGTTTCAGGAATAACAAATTCAGCCGACTGTTTGGCGTATTGCGTGATGATGGGATTGCTGTGGCCAAATCGTGCCGGCCAGTACCTTCTGTTGACCGGGTCCAACTATGCAGGTTTGTGTTCTTTCATCATTTGCAGGGTTGTTGTGACTGCGTGGATTTCGCGGATTTGGTGTGGGCCCAATTTGGTGCAAAATTGATACACTTAGTTTCAATTCCATTAGGCTTCAATTTTAATGATTTGAAGACTCCATTCCTATCATTTCATGGATTTTTTCCTTTAAATAGACAGTCTAAATATTGTGTTTTCCGTTAATTGTAGACCAACAATTAAAATAGGCGGAACAACCAAACGTAAACAATGGCTTTAAACGCAAATTTCTCTCGAATCAAAACACATCGAATGGCTTTGTTAATTAGCGTGGGTTTATTTTGAATGTCGGAAAATTTGCGTTTAAAGCCATTGTTTACGTTTGGTTGTTCCGCCTATACCTATTGTTGGTCTAGAATTGTTCGCAGAGGAAAGTGCAGTACAAAATATTTTTAAATTATTTAAAATGATGTTTATTTCTTGAATTTGTGTGGTTTACATGTATGAATTTTTAAGTGACACAGATGCTCCTTTTCAACTTGCTTCATTTGAAATTTTTAATTATTATTTAATGTTCCTAGTCCTATCAGGCCTGTTTTAGAGAATGGCCATCTTGGTGGTATTGGTTTGTGAAGGAACTACGTGGACAGGGCGGAGCAATAATGAACAGGCCGAGACTTAACGAACAAAATAATGTTTTATTAAAGCAAACTAGAATTGCTCACATCGAGCTCTCGAATTGGAATGACAGCGAAAAATAACAGCAGTGACCAGGTCAGGTAATCCAACGACTACTTTGATTTCACCCCCTCTCGCTTGGATAGTCCCAGCATCGTCCGACGTCCAACGATTTAGTCAGCCAACTGGTTGTTGCTGGCAATCGGCTCCACCAATAGCTTACCAGCAGCGACATGATCACGAAGAAAATGGTGTTTAATATCGATGTGTTTGGCTCTCTTACTCTCCAAGTTCTTGGTCATACCAATGCATCCACGGTTGTCCTCGTATATGGTGATTGGTTCAATGTTCAGCTCACCGAGATCGCCTAGAATACCGACTAGCCATATTGCTTCCGATGCTGCAGCACTCAACGCTACATATTCAGCTTCGCTTGAAGAAGTTGCAACTGTTGTTTGCTTCTTGCTTGACCACGCAACAGTAAATCCGAAAACATGGAAAACAAATCCGCTTACTGATTTCCGGTCGTCAGTATCGGTGGCCCAGTATGAATCAGCAAACCCGATGAGTGGCGCCGCTTGATTGTCTCGAGTAAACGTCAAGCAACACTCCATCGATCCTTTTAGGATTCGTACAACCCGTTTCAGAGCTGTCCAATGTTGTTGTCCAGGTTGAAGTTGGAATCTCCCCAGATATCCGATAGGAAGGCAAATGGCATCCTTGTTGCATTGCACTCCGCCATGCCGAACTTCTGCAAGCTCTTTTCCAGGCTGGTTTCTTGAGACAGCATCATTCTACCATTTTGTTGATCGTACCGTATCTTCATCCCAAGAAAGTGAGTCAACAATCGGTCATTTTTCAAACATCGCCGACAGTTCGCGCTTCAGCTTCATTATGGTGGTCAGCTGCATACCTGCTATCAGGAGATCATCGACATACAGCACGATGAAAACAACGTCTTTCCCCCTCTTGTCGATACGGGTGTATAGGCAATAGTCGTGCTTGGAACGTGTGAAACCTAGCTTCAGCAGTGCTTTTTCGTTTCAACGACCATACAACGATTTCTGTACCTGGCACACCAGCCCAGGGTCTGCCTTGACGCCATCCGGAACAGCCATGAAGATTCTCTCTTACAAGAGAATGTAGCTCACCATGAAGGAACGCCGTCTTGACGTCCCTGTGATGGAACTGGAATCCCCTTTGTACGCCTACGGCCAGCACAATTCGAATCGTCGTCAACTTCGCAACGGGCGCATATGTTTCATTGTAGTCCAGGCCAGCCTTCTGCAAGAAACCTTTGACTACCAGTCTTGCCTTGCATCACACATGGTTTCCTTCTTCATCCTCTTTCACGCGAAAGACCCACTTCGACAGCAAGGGCTTGACACCGGCATTCCACCGTCGTCCACACCTTATTCTCCTCAAGATATTTTAACTCGTCTCTAACTGCGGTCATCCAGAGCTGTCGATCTTCTCGATCTTCGACTTCGGCGTACGATTCCGGGGGATCTGGGAGAGTTAAAATTTTACCAGCAGATGTTGCTCTAAACCCAGTAAAGAAGTCAAGAAACTTACCTGGGAGCCTGCGCTCCCGTGCAGTGCGCCTAGTGTCAGACTCTGAATAGTCTTCACCTCTATGTTGTGAAGGGAGCGCCCCAGGGTTTTCGGATGGAGCTTTTTCGGTTGGTTCTTCATCTAGATCACCGGTGCTTTGCGTATCCGGATCGACTTCATCTTCGGTTTCGCTTTCGATAACAGCTCATGCTTCTTGTTCGGCCGACGAATTGTCCCCCTCTGGGAATCACTAAGGGAACCTTCGAGCCTTCATCTTCTTCATTTGCGTATGGTAAAGAAGCTTCATCGAACTTGATGTCACGAGAGATGAATACTTTTCTTGCTTTTTCTGTCCCATAAGCGGTAGCCATTTGGAGCATAGCCAATCATGACAGCCTCCCGACTCTTGTTGTCCAACTTCTTCCTCAGCTGGCTTGGAACCCACGAAAACGCTTTACATCCAAAGATACGCAGTTTGGAGAGAGGGTTTTCACACCTGTCCAGTGTTCAGCAGGTTTACGATTATCCGACAGAGCAGCAGTACGACACCGGTTCAACAAGTACGTTCCAGTAAGTGCTGCCTCCGACCACATGCACTTTGGCATATTTGAGTCGATAAGCATGGTTCTCGCCTTTTCTACTAGGGTTCGGTTGAACCGTTCAGCCACGCCGTTTTGTTGAGGTGAGTATGCAACGGTTGGCTGAATTTGAATTCCCTTTCGTTTGTAGTACGTTTTCTGTTCTCCGGAGCAATACTCACGTCCCTGGTCGACAGTTAGCTTGCAAATTAGTTTTTCAAACTGGGTGGTTACCATGGCTTCATACTCTTGAAAATGTACGAAGACTTCGGACTTCCTCTTCATCAGGTAGATGCACGTAAAATGGCTGTATATAGTCATCTATAAAGGAGACGAAATATCTCGATCCATCCCAAGCCGGCGGATCGATTGGTCCGCACACATCCGAATTTATCCGCTCTAGCAATCGACTGGCTCACTCACGAGTTCCGTTGAAAGGTTCTCTGCACTGCTTTCCAAGCACACATGTGTCACAGAATCCATTGGAATCAACGTTTGGGCCAAGACCTTCCACCATATTGTGTAGAACTAACGTATTGATCATGGTCTGACTGGCGTGACCTAAACGACGATGCCAGAGATTGCTGACCTCCGCTGCGCAGAGATTTGCTGTAGGTCCTACCACGTCCAGATCTAACTCCAACTCGTAGAGATTTCCTCCCAACTGTGCCACACCGATCGCCGCATCACCTTGCTTCATCAGCGCTTGATGTTTTCCGCCGCGACTTGTGAACAACACGTCAATCCCGGCTTGGGACATCTTCTTGACAGAAAGCAGGTTGCCTCGCAGCTCTGGTACGAAAATTAGATTTTTCTTCTGGAACAGAATACCTTCTTTGGAAATCCCCTTGACTTCGCCTTCATATTTCCCAACAATCGGCTTCGGCTTTGGCCACATCAATAACGAAAGGTTGTTTGAGCTTCCGGACCGCCTGCATGCAATCTTAACTGTTAACCAAATGGTCGCTACATCCGGAGTCCACGTATATAGAAGATGGTTCGCTTGTTCTGCACCTTTGGTTGCTTCTGGTTCACCATGAACGAAACTGCTTTGCTTCCAACCGCTGCGTTGACGTTACCATCGGTCTTCTTGACACGACAATCTTTCATCATGTGGCCAATTTTGCCACATCGATGACACTTTCCGTTGAACTTTCGTTGTTTCTTATTTCTGCCTCCAACAAACGCTGCTGCCTTGTCTTCGCTCGAATCTTCCATCCTATCAGACCGTTTAGATTGTTCAGCCAGTAACCGCTGTTTCACAGTATCCAATGTGAGGTCGTTCTCGTTGATATTCTCTAGAGCCGTTACAAGGGAGTCGTAGATATCGGGAAGGGTGATAAATAATTGCGATGCAATTTCGTTCTCTTCAAGCTTCGCGCCTGCTGATTTGAGTTGGGGTATGATATCGTCGAACTGTTGAAAATGATGCCGCATCGAAGTTCCTTCTTTCATACGGAGCCTGGCCAACTGCTTCCGCAACAGGGTCTGACTTGCTACAGACTTCTTCGCATATGTATCTCCCAGTGCCTTCCACATTTCTCGAGCAGTCTCCTTGTCCCGTACTATGCCTAGACATTCATCAGAAAGGAATCCAACTAGCAAGGACTTCGCTTTCCGATCTGTCTGCAAAAACTTCGCCCTTCCCTGGTCCGATTCACCGGGAACTGGTGAAACTTCTGCCGCACAGGTGAACAGGTGAACCCGAAACCGCCAATTCTCGAAGTTCTTTCCATTCAACTGCGGAATTCCGGAGCCTTCCTTCGTAGATGAGCCCATAACCTAAAGGAACTACTTGGACATGACGGGGCAATAATGAACAGGCCGAGACTTAACGAACAAAATAATGTTTTATTACATAAGCAAACTTGAATTGCTCACATCGAGCTCTTGAATTGGAATGACAGCGAAAAAATAACAGGAGTGACCAGGTCAGGTAATTCAACGGCTACTTTGATTTCCGTATTTGTTTAATAGGGTGTTGAGTCGTTCAGGGTCAATCGCCAGAAGCTGGCGGTGATTTGATTGATTTCTTTATTATAGAGTAGTTGTAACGTATTCAGAAGGAATGAATAGCCCTGAAGAGTTCGTCACACATATCATGAAGGAAAGGACAACGTACGTCAGCTGACTGTGCCGTTTAAAAATCGGTGCGAATACTAATATTTCAACGTTTTAAAGAGGCGTAATTGCGTTTGTAAACAATGGCTTTA